ATCTAAAAAGAAAGAAAACAGTGGACTATTGACCTTCGGGGGTCAATGAAACATGGCTGACCATTAATGGCTGGGAAATGAAGACAAAAGCCAGTCACCTGGGAAGAAATCAAGAGAGTAGGTTGGAGAGGACACTCTCATCCCTACATCAGGAGTGGGGAGGCAGCCCTGACATCTGTTAAATAGCCACGTCAGCTAGCCATTTTTCCAGGGTTTGAGACTTAATATCTACCTATTTGGCAGCACCCAGAGGAAGACTGAGCTCTCAGCACGTAAGTGCTTGCCTGTTGTGTCAGACGATGCTCTCTACTCTGCTTTTTATAATTTTTTTCACAGAATCAGCTTCTCCCCTACACTGACTTTCCTGAAGGTCTACACCAGCCCCAGGCTCTGTGTCACCTGTACCACCAAACCCAGCAGATGTGAAGAGCAGGAAAAGGAGCAGAGGGAACACACACAGATGTTGCACAGCCTGCCAAGGCCTGTGTGAGGGGACAGCAATCTGGAGGGAGTGGCCTCACAAAGTTCTTTCTGAAGCTCTGAAGGAAGTAGAGACAACTTTACAACACTACAAGAGTGAGTGGAAGTGTTCATCTGAACTAAATGAGCCGACAACAGTAGTATGCCCTATGGTATTTGAGACAGAATAAATGGAAACTTTATTAGCTGGATTACAGGAGAAAATGTGTCTCAGTCTATAGGGAGAATTATAGACACTGGCCTGTAGACCAAACCTCTCTGTTTTCTGTTTTGTAAATAAAGTTTTATTTAAACAAACAAACAAACAAACAAAAAAAGAGTGAGTGGGGGTTGTTTTCTGTTTTGTAAATAAAGTTTTATTTAAACAAACAAACAAACAAAAAAAGAGTGAGTGGGGGAGAGCAGCCATATGGAGACAAAGGAACATCGGCTTCCAAAGTAAAAATGTGATACTTCCCTCCCCGGCTTGGCCACAGCCTTGTTCATTTGTTCCCCACACCTCCTGCAGCTTCTTTCACTGCAACCCTTACCTTAGTCACCAAATTACCAGCAGATGGGACAACTGAAGAAACGCTTGTGGCAGACTTAATTAAACTCCTCCCTGACAAAGCAGAAACAAGGTGAGGGATTTCTCTCAGAATGCAGCCCCCTTGTCAGTCACACACATCTACAGCCTGTCCCAAAGCATCACCTGTAAGGTTGGAACTCTGTGAGTTATGGTGAAGTTGCTGTATAAAGTCAAACTTTATTTTCCTAACAACCCAGATCAAAGTGTCCTCCTGTGTCATCTACCCTAAGAACATGCTCTGTTGCTCCACCAGCTGAAATCAGTTTCTAGAGTTGTTCACTGAACTTATCTGGCCTTTAGCATGGACTGACTTGTACCCTGTGTGGAAAGAAGGTGGGGCTCAGTCTACTTGTGAGAGGTCTGGTCTCTAGAAGGCCAAGGTGGTGAATTACCTGTTGGATATTTTAAACTACCATGCTCCCAAGCAAAGGGCTACAAACAATGAAAGCTTGATCAACATTTGTAAAATGAAGGGATGTATGAGTATACCAACTTACAGACCCTGAACCTTCTCTGTGGAAATGTTGGTGAAACATAGATACATCTTGCTATTATTATGATCGTCCTTTGGTTATGAAGGGCTGGGGAAATGGTTCAGTGGGTAAAAGTCCTTGCCATAAAAGCATAAGAACCTGAGTCTGGGTCCCCAGCACCCATGTAAATGATTAGAAGTAGTCCTCACATGTATGTAGGCCCAGTGCAGTAAGACAAAGACAGAATTCTCCCAGAGGTCACTGGCTGGCCAGCCTAACCTAAATTTTAGCTCCAGATTCAGTAAAGAGACCTGTTCTCAAAGAAGAAGGTAGAGAGCATTTGAAGAAGACACCAAGACACCTTTGGCCTCCACAGGCACACATATACACAGACATGCACACATGCACATGCTCAAACACATGTACATATAATGGTGAAGTAAACTAGACTGCACCTTTTCATGAATTTGCTACATAAATTTAACCTAAACAGCTTCTGACTCTAGGCCTCAGTTCCCTAGCTCCATCACAGAACAGACATGTCGTCCACACAGAACAGATACTTCATTGGGGTATAGTAAGAATCAAATGAGATAACTTTGCTATGATTTTCAATGTCTAGTTCAGTGACCTAATGAGACACCAGAGCAGGAAAAGGGGCAGTATAGAGTATGCTCTTACATGCAGGGAAAGTAGGTTTGGTTCCTTAGTGTAACAGTAATCATGTTTGCCTCATACATACAGGGAAAGTGAGGTGCAAGACTAACCAAAAACAGGTGGGGTGCTGCAATATGACCCTGCAGCAAACCCAAAGCCTGATTTCTTTGTGTACGCATTAACCTCTGCCTCCACTCCCCAGTCTGTAAAATGAGGGGTCATAATTATAGTACTGCATGGCTCATGCTAATACATGCATAGTACTTGATGTAGCTTGACACAAAGTAAATCTCAAAAAGGGGTAGACCACTACCTACTTTTACTATGAGCAGAAGTACCTCCATTTTTATGCCACCTCTACAAAGGAGGAATCCTAGAAGCCTTCCTAGAGATGACTTCAAACATTAGGAACTTTGCTAACCCCATTCCCTTCCGAATGAAGTCAGAAAGTATAACCCAGGATAAGATGGCCAACACCATCTTGCTTCTTGGGAGTAGGGCACACCTACCATGGAATGCCAAAGAAAGCCAGCCACTTTGCATGCAAAACAGCCACAACACAACTGCAAAGAAGGGATACAGTACACTAGTGTATCTACTGTTCATGAGACAGAGGGTCACAGATCTAACAGCATCCAGACTGACAGAAATATTCCCTGCTTTTGTTTATCTGAAGAAGACAAGGTTAGCCAATTAAAGCTCCCAGATGAGCACTGCTCTCCTTGTTGAAATGCATCAAGAGATACTCACGACAGATTTCAAAGGCAAACATCTCTACATGTCCCTTTGGGACCCGAGCCAGGCTGAGCCAAGAAGCATCTCCATTAAAGTGATGTCTCATCTGAATGACAGCCAGTCTACCTAGGTCCCAAGCTAAGTGTGCTGACAGCAGGAGAAGGATGCTGAGTGATTCTGATGAAGAGCCCAGGGTCTTTTGTGCTTCTAGAAGCACCTGCACTTTTCTCTGATGCCTGGGTTCGCTCCATTGGGAAATGAAAACAGCTCTGGTCACCCATGTGGGCCTGGAATTATTGATGTGAAGAGACCCAGGTTGACAGTTTGCAGCACAGTGGGACAGGCAAGCCCCCAAGAAAGCAAGGCCAGAGATACTCATTGAGGCACAGTTGTCTCAAATGACGACTCAGCAACCCGTGGAGTGAGAAGCAGCTCAAGACTAAGCAGTCACCAGTTCTCACCACACTTGGGAACTTGCAGTTATTATGAGCTAATCTTGCAGAACTCAGCTTCACTCTTTGCCCTTCTCAAGGCCCTCCAAAGAAATGCTCGCTCACTTGACTTGCTGGGGGTGGTTTGGGTAGGGGCCTCTAGAAACCAGAGGTAACCTGCAGCCAGGGTAAGACTCCTTGCCTAACCTGCTTGATCTCATCCTAGATTCTAAATAACACCCTGCTACCCCCAGGAATGCCCTCCCCCTACCCTAGGGCCCAGCTTGGACAGCAGGTCCACAATGAAGGTAGGCCGGCTGGCCGCATCTCTGCAGAGAGCTTCCTCAAGCTATTCTCCTCCTACCTCCACCCTCTTCAAGGAGTTAAAGCACCCTCCCCTCCCTAACCCAGGGAGCCTTTCTCCTCCTAGGCAGCCACACAGGCTGCCCGCCCTGCAGGGGTACCAGATTCCTGGTAGGGCAAAGTTTTCCAAGCAAAATCTGCAGTTTCTCAAGCAGACAAAAAGCCAGTTCCCCCACCCATCTGGTCCGCAATGGATCAAAGGAGAAGAAGGAACAGTTAGGGTTTTATTTTTAAAATAGAAGGTTATAAAATACTCTGCCTACCGCTGCAGCTAGAATACAACTATCCCTACACACTCAGAACCAGAAAGAAGTTCTTTTCATGTCCCAATATTAAGCCCAGGAAGAGTCAAACACTTGCAGAGCCCCAAGGCGCATGCCCACGCTCCCTTTGAGCCAGAAAGAAGTTCTTTTCATGTCCCAATATTAAGCCCAGGAAGAGTCAACACTTGCAGAGCCCCAAGGCGCATGCCCACGCTCCCTTTGAGGGGTAGAAGATGGAGCCTGATCCCTAACACACTGCTTAGGGAGACACCTCCAAGAGAGGTCAAAGGCTGCCTCAGCTGTGGCTAATCCTAAATGCCAAGGAAAAACGCTCCCCAGGGGAGCCAGTCAGGACCCCAGTTCAGAACAACTGTAATACACAGGACAGGATACCTCTGTATAAAGTTCCCTCTGTGTACAACCACCACAACCCTCAAAGTTGGAGGCTCTTTTCAGTTTCTATTAGATTCTACAGCTTCCCAACTCCTACAAACCCCTGACACAGAGAACATGCTGGAATAAAATGCCACAGCACTGTGGGTGCTAGCTGAACCAGGGAGAGTACTCCAACTTTTTTTTAGGGTTCGTCACTCTTATCTTGACACTTTGATTGACACCCACCCAGTGAGACAGCGAAAACGCTCCCCAGGGGAGCCAGTCAGGACCCCAGTTCAGAACAACTGTAATACACAGGACAGGATACCTCTGTATAAAGTTCCCTCTGTGTACAACCACCACAACCCTCAAAGTTGGAGGCTCTTTTCAGTTTCTATTAGATTCTACAGCTTCCCAACTCCTACAAACCCCTGACACAGAGAACATGCTGGAATAAAATGCCACAGCACTGTGGGTGCTAGCTGAACCAGGGAGAGTACTCCAACTTTTTTTAGGGTTCGTCACTCTTATCTTGACACCTACCCAGTGAGACAGACCTGTCTCAAGGAGACCTCTGAAGAGGGGCAAGGATGCTGACAGAACACACAAGTGAAGAAAGATGAAAGAGGACGCACCTTGTCCATCCTCCACTTACCAGGAGAGCTTGAATCCTTTCATTAGTACAGTCACGAGAATCCACTGACTGTGTCCTTAACATCCCTGTCACCGCTCCGGAGGTCCCAGGACATAGTGGAAAAGATGACGAAGTCCCAAAAGAACAGAATCCCATATAATGTGACTTAAACACAGAGATAGGAGAGAAGGAGAGGGAGAGAGAACAGAGAGAGAGAAAGAGAGAGAGAGAGAGAGAGAGAGAGAAAGTACTGCTGCTTCTGTTCCTACTGCCCCACTCCCAGCTCTCAGCTGGGCTCAGAGGCCAAGGGCAGCTTGGACAAACCCAGCCCCAGGCTGGAGCCGGCTGCCCTGGCTGTTGCTGCCACTGCCTGTCTCGGATGAGGATGGGTACTCTGGCAAGCCTGAGCTAAGCCGAGCCCTGGAGTTGCATCCACAGTCAGGCTGGCCGCCAGCCACCCACCCTCACCTCCTACCGGCCATGAGCAGCCTCAGGGAGAAAAAGCAAGGAGGGCCTGGAGGATCAGAGCACCGACCTAGCAGAACCTGCACTCTCCTCCCCCAGGCGGCAGCTCCATGTAATCTCCTAATCAATGCAGTACCCAAGCAAAGCACCGCCAGTCACTTCCGCCCATTTAAAGACACAGCACATGTTTTGTCCCAGAATGGGACAGATCACTTAGGATGCCCAGGATCAGTGTGCTGCAGGGAGGAATGTGGTACCAGGAAGGAAGAGGGAACAAGCAAAAAAAGCTCTTAAGAGGGATATAGTCACAGGCACCGGACAATATTAACCAGGTGAGTTTACAGGTCACACCCTTGGCATGGAAGGAGTCTTGGACAACCTCAGGCTTTCTTAACTGAGCAGATCTGAAAATCTGGCTAGTACCTATCATCCCAAGGCTGGCTGCCCAAGACCACCTTAAGCAGAACTGTCAGTTCCCAGTGAAGCAAGCTGGGCTAGCCAGCAGGCTCTGAGTTCCCAAGCAGTTAGTTCTGAGCACAGGAAAAGCATAGTTCCCTTCTCCTGCTGGGGACATGGCCCAGATTAACAGGGCATGTGGTGAGCAGCTCTGAGTGGTAAAGCAGCCTTTGGATCACCTCAAGTCAGGAATCCTTCCAAGGTGGCCCCAACAGTCTGGCCTGGCTTAAGACTCAGTCAACACATCAGCAACACAAGAGGCAAGCAGACTTACACTAGGAACACTAAGTGGAGGAAAAATGTGGACTTTGAACTTCTTAAAGTGGGGGAAATGCCCAGCACTCCCTAAACCAATTCTAGGTTGGAAGTTCCCTCACCAACCACTTCTCTGGTTGTACCACTTGTTCGTCTCTGGCCTCCCCCATATTATCCATTATCTGGGTCAGTAATGCGGATGGGTGAAAAAGAACAAAGAGGAGATTAATTATGAAATAGCAACCTCCAGCTGAACCATAATAAGCCTTTTCCCTAAAACTGGCCTGAAACACTCTATAGCCATGCCTGGGCTAACTACACATCACCCAAGCTTGACTTTCTAAGTTAATGCTCTTAAACACAGACAGACAGACAGATAGCACTGGGAACAGTGTTTAGGGCATGTCCTGCTTGTCACCTGCATCCTTCTTTCTATTGGGTACCCCCAGGAAGGCAGGGAATGGGCATCTCCTCCCATTTGGTGTAACATCACCCTGGATAGGAGGCTTTGGGGTAGGAAGGGTCCTGTTACTGTTTCCTTGATATGATGCTAAGCAAACAACCAAATCATTGCTGACTCCCTCCAGCATTTGACCAGACAGAAGAAACACTCTCTAGGACCTTGAACTTTCAGGGATATGCTAGTCAAACAGCCGTGACTAGCAGAATTCCTCTGCATCCATAACACCATGTAAGATGATGATGTTCGATGCTTCCCGGACTTCTGAACACACCCCCAGTTGTGTTTTTAAGGCTCCTTGGGCCTGTATAGGGGCCATACATTTAGCACTGGAATTGATGAGGTATACCATGACTGGGTAATTTGATCATTGGAACTCCCAAATTATATGATCCACCCCCTAGGTTAACATCACTGATATTCATCTACATAAATGTCAATGTTCTCTTTGGTCCCATTGCTGTGATCATGAGGAACACTTCAGTATCAGTCCAGAGCACCCCAAACATTACTCTAAAACACATTTCAGGGAAAGTGAAAATCTTTGGTCATTGGCCATCCATCAACTATTTTTGGAAACTCCATAGAAACCCACTTTTGCCACTGCTAACAAGAGTACATGGAGGGACTGTGGAGCCAGCTATTGAGCTAGGCGCAGTAGGTATGCACTTGTGATCCTACATGAACATGCCGAGGTATTTTCTAGGGCTGTGTCTCACACACAACTGAGCAATGACAAGGGCAGTGTCTTGATATGCCTAATGCTGAGCAGCAAGGGAGATGCAAGTTTGGAATATGAATACAGTCATATCAAACTTCAAACTTTTTTTTTTTAAAGTCTCAAGGCAAGGAGATGGCTCTTGGCTCCAAGGATGGCTTCTGGACCAAGCAGAAGGACCAGAGTTCCAATCCCCAGCACCAGTGGAACAGTAGTAGTAGGAATCCCAGTGCTGGGAAAATGGTGACAAGCAGATCCCTGAATTTGCTAACCAAAAAAAAAGTCAATTAGGGAGCTCCAGGACCCATGAGAGTGTGTCTCAAAACTAAAGTAGAAAATGACAGAAGAAGACACTCAACATCAACCTTTGGCGTCACATATGAATGGACAGGTGAGCATGAATGACTGGGAAAATGGTGACAAGCAGATCCCTGAATTTGCTAACCAAAAAAAAAAAAGTCAATTAGGGAGCTCCGGGACCCATGAGAGTGTGTCTCAAAACTAAAGTAGAAAATGACAGAAGAAGACACTCAACATCAACCTTTGGCGTCACATATGAATGGACAGGTGAGCATGCATGAACACACACACACACACACACACACACACACACACACACCTTTTCTCTCAGACATACTGGTTTAAAAGAGTTCATTTAGCCCAAGACAAAGAATATAACCAATAAGGAAAAGAGACTAAACAAGGTAGCCTCTTCATTACTGATGAGTGCTGAGTGCCAATGTGTGTGACAAGGAGGCCTGGTGGGATGGGTGACAATCACCCCCACAGATTCCCTTTGGCTGTAGATCAAGAACTTTCCCTAGGGCTCTGGACACCAATGCCATGTTTTTTAGCCTGTAATTGGACCCAAACATGGCTGATCAGACACAGAACACTCCATACAGTGATATAAATTGGTGATGGAGACCATGAGAGATACACCAATGCTCATCTCATGGACTTCTCCTGCCTTACCTTCTTGTGGACAGAATTCTGTACAGCCAGAGAAGTTCCCTCCCTGGGAAATGGAGCACATTGGCATAAGCTCTAAGAATGAGTGTGTGCCTTTTCCTGATACTGCCTGCCTCTGCATGGACTGGCTGTTCCATAGCATTCAAGTTTCAGGAAGGGCACAAATTATTTTAGAGAAAACTAGACTCTGAAGAATTCCTTATCTGGCAAGATGACCACATGGACTACAAAACAGAAAGCCAAAAGGAAATTATTTTTAAAATGCCTGGGGTACTGGCAAAATCCAAAAAGTTAAGAATATGTAAAGTTCAAATATTTAGTGATGGCAGAAATGAATGAGCCTGGGTTTCAGTTTTCATGGCCTCCAAGCACAGAGAGAAACTCTCAAAGTTCTCTAGTGGTGGGGTTTAAAAGGAGATTTTGTAATAGCGGTATTGCCTAGATGGGCTCCTGCAGGTCCCCCCAGGCCCTTGTTTGGCCACATCTCACCCTAATGATGAACTTGAAAGGATTCAGGCCAGTCCTAAACCTTGATCTGCAAAACAAATGGTCCTCAAACTGATCTTCCATTCACCTCAGTGATTATAGTGCAAGAGTTTCCTAACCCAATCAATTTCGCTCTCTCTCTCTCTCTCTCTCTCTCTCTCTCTCTCTCTCTCTCTCTCTCTCACACACACACACACACACACACACACACACACCTGCAAAAGAGGGATAAATTTTAAATGACCATCTTCCTGTCATTCAAAGGAAAGCCAGTGCACAGAGGGCACAAAGGTTTTGCTGGGAGGAAATACACACCATAAATTGAGAAAAGGACTGGTTGGATGTTTATTAAAATTTCCTACAAATCCACGAAAAATAAGCACAATAGGCAAATTAGAATAAGGGCTTTCAGAAGGGGAAATAAACATACAGACAGGTCCACACCTTTATGAGGACTCAGGAAAATACAAATTCAGAAAACAAATATGATGCTATTTCAGATCCATCTGATTGTCCAATTTTTTTTTTTCAAGATAGGGGTTCTCTGTGACTTTGGAGGCTGTCCTGGAACTAGCTCTTGTAGACCAGGCTGGTCTGGAACTCACAGAGATCTGCCTGCCTCTGCCTCCCAAGTGCTGGAATTAAAGGCGTGTTCCACCAATGCCCAGCAATCAAAATTTTTAAATCAAGCAATATCAAGCAGTGAGAAAGAGCTAATAGAAGGTCATATTGACTCAACTGCTGAATTATGGAAGAGCTGAACAAGTCCATCCCTACCCCATCAATACTATGGGGCCATTCTACTACACTGAAGAAAGTAAATGACATGAGGGTGCACACACAAGAAACTCAATACAGTACACCATGCATTAAAGAAGACCTTCATGAATAACAAAGGTATCTGCAGTATTTTCAAGAAGAATATTATACAGCATTGAACATGCACAGTACTGCAATACACAACAGAGTGGATGAATCTCAGAAACATAAACTGAACCAAAATCAGGAGTCAATGTGGATTTTATATATTCTTCTGTGAGCATACAAAGAACAAGTAAAACATATATTCTATATCCGTAGAATGAAAAAACCAACCCTAAACCTTGACACTAAGCAAAGGAACAAGCAACAAAGAGAATAACAAGTCCTTCAGAAAGCTGGTCAGGAGAACAGTGTTAGCTGAGAGAAGTCCATTTTCTCTTCTTTATGCTTTATGTTTATTTCATTTTTCTTCTCGAATCAGAATATGACAAATAAGTGTTTCCCAGTACGTCAGAATATTTTATATATCTTTGGAAATACCCTTTTGTATCTGCTCAATGCTTATGAAACACTTTTGAGGATAACAGAGAGATCTGAAATCATTCCCATATCTATCTTCTTTGATATGGCCTGACCATGACAG